CAGTACAAGCATAAAAAACAACAACAACAAAAAAGTGGGGATTACTTAGTAAACAAAACTTTCATAATATCACTTTAAATCCAGAAGCAGTAAGGTTCATTCCACTAAATGAGGCTACACATCATGAAGTGGAAAGCATGGTATAGGGGATGATTTAAAAAGTAACTTTCTCATGGATGTTGGTCAGGAGGTATACAGATTTATAGACAAATTTGACTTCTGCCTAACGGCCACCAGCAGGCAGTCTCCTCCAGCCCTCAGTTCAGCCTTCTGGCCTGGTCAAATATTACTCTTGGCCTGGCTGTCTCCTTCCTCTGTATCTTTACCCTGACCATGCACTTACTTCTTGTACTCAGAGACAAAAGCTGTCAACATAAAAAATGTGCACTCTCTTTGCAGGAGTTAAAGGTAAGTTTCAGGGAGGAACATTGTTCATAGGGTTCTTAGTCACTGGCTCTTGGCAGCAGCGCAGTACCACACTCATATGGAATTCAAACCTAACCTCTAAGTTAGGGAACACTTTGGATCTGGTGGTTAAGCAGACCTCCCTGGGGCTCAGAGGGTAGGAGCCATGCTCTCAAAGGCAAGAGAAAACAAGGATGTTTCACAATACCTTGGAGGAACAGCACTTAACTTTACAGCTCCTCCTTGCCTGTGTAGGGCTCATGTGAGGGGCTGAAGAATACTGAGTGCTTAACATTTCAATGTGGTCAAAGAGGTCAAAGGAGGAGTTGAACAGGGGGCCGACAGGCTGGGGTGCAGTTCAATGGGCAGAGCACATACTTAGCATATACAGTAGGCCCTGGATTCCAACCAAAGCACACACACAGGAAAAGATGGCTGATGACTCTTGTTTCTTTCTTTTTTTTTTTTTTTTTTGGTTGGGGGGCTTGAACTTGGGCCTGGGTGCTATCCCTGCACTCTTCAGCTCAAGGCCAGTGCCCTACCGCTTGAGCCACAGCGCCACTTCCATAACTCTTGTTTCTTAAGACACTACCACCCCATCCACTGCAGAGACTCCTCAGAGGAAAAGAACACACCCATGCCTGTGAGCTGCTGACTGGTGGTTACCAGGCATCTGGAATGGTTGACAGCAAGGTATTTTACTCTTCATCTAGATTTCTAATCTTCCTTTAATGAATCTCCAGGTCCCTGTGACTTGTGTTACTGGGCTAATTACAAAAATGGTTGACTTCTTTTTTCCTTGTTGGTGCTGGTACTGGGGACTTGAACGCAGACCATAGGGGCTGATCCTTAACTTTTCTGCTCAAGGTTGAAGATCTACTACTTAGGCCACAGCTCTTGGAGATAAGAATCTCTCAGATTTGTCTGCTCCAGCTGGCTTTGAACCACAGTCTTCAGATCCCTACCTCTGAATAGGCAGGAATACAGGCATGAGCCATCAAGGTCTGGCTTCGATTACATTTTTTTTATGTCAGGCAGTTTCAAATACAACTATGAGCTTTAATCATATCATTCTCTGAACAAAGATAATGACCACTAGTGCTTGAATACTGTTCTACTTTCTTTATTAAGAGGATATTAGATCATTTCATTTCAATCCGTTTGTTCATAGAGATACTTGTTATAAAGAGTATTTTGGCTTCTGGATATATCTTCCTGACAGTCATAACAATAGTCTCCCTGATATATTCCCTCATGAGTCATGAATGTCCTAAGCAGCCATTCCTGTTCATCAAATGATCAACAGAAACATGAAGCAAGTATAAGGAATCATAAAGCAACTCTGTCATTGTAAATTGTGAATTCCAGGCGCTAGCCAGTGGTGACTCATACCTGTAATCAGAGATATTCAGAGATGCTGAGACCCAGAGGCTCAAGGTTTGAAGCCAGCCTGGGCAGAGAAATCCAAGACCCTTATCTCTAAATAATCAGAAAATTGCTGCACTGGAGATGTGGCTCAGGTGGTAGAGCACATGAGCAAAAACACCAGGGAAGAGTGTAATGCCCTGAGTTCAAGCTCTAGTATCAGCATAAACAACGACAACAAAAACAATAAATAGCAAATTCCATAATTAAGCCAAGCTGGCCATGGTCATGTGGTGACAGAAATTGCTGCCAGGGCTCAAGATTTCAGTCACTTGAACTTTCTATCAACATTCTTGTCAATTTCCATTAACATGAACAGCTAACAAAAGAGGGAATTGTTAAATTTGATCTGCAGCTGCCTGTGTATAGAGGGATCTGTAACCACCTGAAAATATGATCAAACTTGGACCAGAGAGACTGTTAGTTGATCAAGAAGCTGTACAGTCCAGAGTGCAGCCCATCCCAGCCTGCAAGGTGCCAGAAATGTGCAAAAGAGGCAAATTCACTAAAACAGGCAAAGTCATTCCCATGTCACTTTCTTGCTCTGCCAATAGACATCACCTGCACAGGCTCCCTATGGAGCTTGGCAAACAGTTGCTGTTCAGGTGTTTCCCAACACCTAAATCCTCAAACATTTCTTTGTGCAAAGAATGTGATTTTAAAAATGACTTGCTTAGGGCTGGGAAGGTGGCTCAGTGGTAGAGGGCTTGCCTTGCATGCATGAGGCCCTGGGTTCGATTCCTCGGCACCACAATAGACAAAAGAAAAAAAGCTGGAAGTGGTACTGTGGCTCAAGTGGTAGAGCACTAGCCTTGAGGTCAAGAGCTGAGGGACAGTGCCCAGGTCCAGAGTTCAGGCCCCACGAACGGACCCCTACCCCCGAAAAATGACTTGCTTAACATTATAATGGAGGTTAGCAAGAACTAAGGGTTACAGTTGCCTTTCAGAGCTAATTCCTTGAAACCTTTAAGAAAAATTGTTTCACATTGTCTACTTTTATAGAATACTTGGCTCTAATTGCACTGGTGCTCCAAAGGCAAGCCACCCCGACCCCCCCAGCCCCCACCCAGCTCAACAGGAGCAGGCACAACTAAGGACCAGGACCAGCACACAGGTGCACAGCAAGCACTTAGTACACTACAAAGTTAGGGCCTTGGCTGTATTCAAATTACTCCATGTCTTCTTAAGATTTACAAGTGTGGGCACAGTGAGTGGGAACTCACCAATCACCTGCAGTGACACTTTCCTTAGACCTTCTCCCTCCCTGCAATGACAAAGCTTTGCAGGAATCCTGCCTCTGAGTCTCTGAGATGCTTAAGTGACCAGGAGTGACTTGATGGGGTTCATCTTCCCACACCCCCAGATGGCAATTGTCAAATGCAGAAATGGAAGCTACCCAAGGGATTGGCAAAAGGTGTACATAGCCTTAACTATACTCCACTATTTTTATATTTCTTATAAGAAAAACTGAAGGGTTGATTAGAATTAGGGCAGAGTACAAGACAGGTGCCTAACTTTACCACTGAGCCAGACGCATAATCTGGAAAAGTCATTTTCCTCTTGATTACAATTCTATCTGTAAAGGTAAGCCACCAGGCCTTACAAAAAGAGGAAACCCCAGAAAAGCACTTTTCTCTGTAACAATTTGGGCAGGGGCTAGAGGCCCAAGAAACCTCTCTTGTGTCTGGGCCAGGACCTAAAGGAATCTTACAAAAGTTTCAGACAGTTGAAACACATAGTAGGACACTCAATTTCATACTCCACCCTCCACGATTGGCATTGTACCCCAGGGTTGGACGAGGACACTGAGGCCAAGCAGATGAGTGGTTCCTCAGTGCTCAAGTAGGAAGAAGCAGGACTCCAGGGGGAGAGCACAGCCCTGCAGGACCCCTGCTAGAACCCAGCCTGGGCGCAGCCCAGCTCTCACCATCCCCAGGAAGGCCAGACACAGGATCACGGTGGTGAACCAGCACAGCACGCTCCCGGCATGGCCACTCGGCCTCCGGGACACCGCCACTGCCAAGGGCTCTTTCTGGGCAGGGGCCTGGGCCTGGAGGAGCCGCTGCCCGGCAGCCCCCGGCCCACCGAGGTCGGCTTCCAGCTCCAGCCTGGCGGCCTTTTGCTGCCTGGGGATCCCGGGCTCTGAGCACTGGTCCCTCCAGCCGCAGAGGCCTCTGGGTGCCACCTCCCCCCACGGACAGTGCTAGGTCAGGGCCCGGGAATTGAGACTTTTGACTGAGCACGTCTTGCAGGCTGGAGACAGGAGCCTCTCCACTTAGCACAGCTCCTGCAGACAGTGGTTGGCCTTTCCTCATCCAGGGCCTGTGTCCATGGGTGAGGAAACTCGGTTGCCTGGGAAACGGAGAGTCGCTTCCCACTGCAGCATCTCTGCCAGGGGAGCCCACAGACACCCGCCGACGGCGCCTCCTGGTGGAGGGACCTGTAAATGCAGCCTCGGAACAGCTGCATCCTCTGGGCTGACACCCTCTGCCCCATGGTTCTGGGATCTCTAGGCCCACCACAAGAGGACCCCGCCAGAGCTCTGCCTGCGCCTCTTAGAGTCACCAGAGGCCTCCTGGGCGCAGCTCCCTCTGCGGACTCTCCACTGTGCTGGGATGGACAAGGGTCTCTGCATGCAGCCCATGCTCACCGCAGCCAATTCCAAGATTTGACAGGCAGCACAGAAACAGCTGGGGCCAGGTCGCAAGCAGGAGTTAGTGTGCATTTGTGGAGTAGTTCAGCATTTCCTCCTCTCCCTGTGGCTAGATGGACACGAATAAAATTCCATGAGAAATGAAAAGCACCCAAATATCAGCCAAGGATGTCTCAAGAGACGTAAAAGTAGCACCACCAAATTCTGGCTAGTTCTCCAAGGAGTTCCAAACGCTAGTGAGGTAGTGTAAGTTGCAGACTATAGCAGAAAATGATGAGAGGCGTTACTTTTGCAACGTTCTATCACTAAGTTATACACGTGTAGACCAAGATTCTTAATCCTCAAGAACAGGAGATATTGACTTGAGTAAAATTCACTTAAACTAGTGGTTGTAAAGAGAACACATAGTGTGCTTGCCCTCATAATGAAGCTGTTCTTGCAGTTGGCGATCCTAAAGCAAGTGAGTGTGAAAATGCCATTCACCAAAATGGACAAACGTGCAGCAATGAATGCGCTGAGAGAAGACCAGGTGTAATAGGTTGGGAAAGACCTAGGCTGTGTGGTGAGCCAGCCACCACTTCCAACCTCATCATGACAAGATCACGTCCAGCACTGCAAAGATCCATCCATATAGTCATTAAACTACCAAAGTCAGAGAACACTATTAAAGGTACAGCTTTATTAGTCCACAGATAATCAGCTAATAGAAATGGAAATATTAGAAATGGAGGACCAACAATGGGGTACAAGAGAAATCATCAACATGGCTACAAAAATGAAGGAGATGACCCAACAAGACAGATATGGGGGAGAGGGGGTTTAGCACACGCATGAGCCCTTCACAGAAGGGTGGGCAACTCAGCAAGTTGTTTGAGAGATAGAAGGACCAATCAGGAGCCTCTGAGAAGCATAACACCACCTCTCAACCATTCAGACCAGAAGCCCTCCGTCAGATCTTAGGAGGTAAAGGACTCTACATATAATAGCATCCAGAGAGACTGGGCATTCTGGGTTCTAGGATCCTTCCTTTTACAAGGAGTTCATTTTGCCATTTCATTCACTTCTCCTTTGTGGTTGTTATTGTTGTTGTTGTTTTCTTTCAAAAACACCTGCTCCTCCTTCTTTAAACACTTTCCTGCTCTTTAATTCTTTATATGGAAGAGAAAACAAACTAGAACCCTAGACAGCATCAAACATTTGGCACTATTTGTTCCCCCCCCCCCCCCCCCGAATCCTGTGTTTGGGTTTCCTGGTGTCCATCTGCCAAGACAGTCAGAGGCTGCGGCAGCCATGGTCCAAATGTTCCAGGTGTAGCTCCATGACAGTACGGCTCAGCAGACACAGCACGGTCCTCGGGATGCTGACTCTGCAGACATTCACAGTGAAAGAGTTGTGGGGCGCTCAGAGGCTTCCGCCCAGATTTCACATAAAAGCCTGGAAGGTCCAATGGCATGCAGCAGGCTCAGAGTGTCTGCAAGCAGTCCCTTATAGGACAATGCTTGGAGGCAGAGCCACAAAGGAGACCACAGCAAGATGCCAGAAACTTGACCTGTCTGCTTAGAGAATCTGCAGACAATAGACAGAACCAGCCAAAGAGAGTGAGTAAAGTCAGCAAAATCCTAGGGCTAGACTATTCAAGATAGGAGAACCCACTATCTACTCCCAATCTTTTCCCTACTGACTTTATGTCTTATTTTGGCTTGATCCCTTTTACTTTCTTTTCCTTTTTCTTTTTATTGTAAAGATGATGTACAGCAGGGTTACAGTTACAAAAGTCAGGTAATGAGAACATTTCTTTTAAAAAAAATAATGATAAGCAATGTTCAATTATTTGCATTTACTTTATGCTAAACTTATTCCAGTGCCATAAATTTTTGTTTCTTCTGGGATACCTTTTTCTTCGGTGAGGCCTCCTCTTCTGACTTAGAAACAATTTGCTCCTTCCACTTCTTTTAGAAGTGTCACCTCTTCCCTCATTTTCTCTCAGCTTTCCCTCCTGACCTCCCTCCTCCACAAGGTGTATAGTTCCTTTTCAGCAGAGTGTCTAGTAATTATCACTCCTGCATTTGACACCCTTTGTCTCCCATTTCTGTGACTCCCTTACCCTCCCCCGAATAGATACACTTACGTACAAGACAACAAGTACAGAAGGCAAAAATCACGACAAAAGGAGAAAAGCACAAAAAGTAAAATAATAAAAAGCCTCATTTCCACTTCTTGGAGTTCATTTCATAAACATCATTTTACATGGTCATATACACATAGCTTTTCTGATATACACATGAGCCTCTGTGATCCTATCCTCTTTTGGTCCCACTGGGAGAATGTTTAGAGTCCTGATTAAGTGTATTTCTTGGTCTTTCACCATCCATTGTGTTTACTTATAGATTTACAGGCACATTTTAATTACTACGAATGAGGGAAAACATGCAACCTTTGTCTCTTTCGGTCTAGCTTATTTCACTTAATATACATTTTCCCAAGTCTCTCCATCTCCTCACTCATGGGACAATGTCATAGTTTCTGATGGAAGCATTGAATTCCAATGCGCATATTTACTAAATGTTCTTGATCCATTCACACACTGAGAGGCATCTGGGTTGATTCTATATCTTGGATTTAGTAAACAATGCTGCAATGAAGCTGGTTGTGCTGGTAGCTGTGGTGTGGTCTTGTTTGTGGTCTATTGGATAAATGCCCAGGAGTGGAATTGCTGGGTCATAGGAAAGCTCTATGCTTACCCCCATTGTATCTGGCAGGTATCTACCTTTCTTTTTTGTTTTTAGAGGGAATCACAACTCAGAGTTTTCTTGAGTCTCCATGGAGACCTTGCACTTGGGCTTTGCACAATACTATAATAGTCAGTACTGGGAAGAATCATGGAGATTACACTGAAATAATGGATTTTGGATGCTCAAGCAGTGCTCAAAGAAAGGGAAATGGAAATGAGCTCTTCAGGACCAGACATTATATCATGGTTGGGGTTTTGAATGTCTCCCAAAGGCTCATATGTTAAGGCTTGGTTCCTACAGGTGCAGGAGTCATAAAGAGGTGGGACTTCAAGGTAGATGATTAGGTCACTAGTTGTTTGCTCTTTAAAGTGATTTTGGTGCCCTCGTCCCTTTCTCATTCTCTTGGGCTCTGAGCTTGAGGTAAGAAGTTTTACCATGCCAGATGCTCCTGTCATGAGTTGCTGCCTTGGTACAGGTCTAAAAACAACAGAGCTAAGCAATCAGGGCTAGAACCTCTAAAACTATGAGTAGAAACACAAACCTTTTCTCTTTAAGTGGATTATCTTGGGTATTGGTGATGCAAGCACAATAGCATTTATATTTTGGTTTGTGAAATGCAGTGTAGATTTCCAAAAAGAACAAGAGGCTTGTAATATGTTCATCAGCTTTCTACAAAGTTGCTCATTGTTAACCTAAACAATGTTGTAGTGGACATAGAAGGTAAATGGTCAGAGGTCAATAAAGGGTCTGTGTTTCACTGATGACAAAACAAAGCAACTTGTTTTCAAAAGGCAATTTATGTAGATGCAATGAGAGAAAGCAACTATATTACAATCAGAAATTCAATGTAATACAGTGCAAAACTTGGGAAGAAGTGAACAAAATCTGTCATCAGTTCTACTTATTTATCCAAGGATGGACATATCAGTTTGTCTATTTTCTTTTTTTTTTTTTGTCATGGGGTTTGAACTCTGGGCCTAGACGGTCCCTCAGCTCTTCAGCTCAAGGCCCGTGCTCTATCACTTGAGCCACAACGCCACTTCAGTTTGTCTACTTTCATATGAAGTTCTTTCCCATCCCTGACTTCTAGGCCACCAAGCCACCGTCTCACCTCTACTTTGGGGTCCTAAGTATTTCAGACTTAGGGAGCAGGAGCCCTGGATGATGGCTGGGCCATCTATTCCAATCCCTGGGAGAGATGGTGCCTTTTTAATTAAATTAACTAATTAAACTAAACATCATCTGACCCATCCCTGCAGGATGTCATCACCATTCAAAACCAGTGGTGGTTCACACATGTAACCTTAACTATTCAGGATGCTGAGGTCTGAGGACAAAGTTTGAACACAGCCCAGGCAGGCAAATCTGTGAGTCTCTTATCTCAAGAAAAGTATTCAGAAAAAGCCAAATCCAGTATCAAGACCCAGACAACCCTCAGGTAGAGAACCCCAGTAGGGTTGGCTGACAGCTCTGCTACTTCTGTAGTAACCTTCAATTAGCCTCTGCCATCAGAACTGTGTCTCAAAGACCCATCACAGCATCAAGAGAGGGAAAACTCACAATAAATATCCTTTCCTCTTAGCTCAGTGGGGAAGCACTAGCTAGTATAAGCAAGTCCAACGATTCAATAATCAACAAAGTGGGGGGAAATTTACTTTTAAAAAATTGAAAAAGATACTACAATCCCCAAATTTGGGTAAATTATTGTATTTCCCTGAATAAAATTGAAACCCCTTTGTGCAGCTACTTAAAGCTAATAAAAATAAGAAATAAAAATGCAACATTACACATACATGTTTGTGTATGAGATAAAAGCTGTGGATTAACTTGGTTACAAGCTTAAATGTTCATTTTCAGATAGTTCTGATTTCAGAAATATTAAAAGTGTGGAGAAAATGCCTCTGTATCAATGAAATTCAGTATTTGTTGGGAGCCCACAGTAAAGCTCCAAGGTCAGCTTGACCCCAGTGCTCACTTGAAGGCACCTACAAGGAACTGGCTTTCATGAAAAACACCAGGTGCCCGGGATTGCTTTGCTATGTCTGCAGAGTTTATTTTACTTTCTACCAGTTGACTTGTTTTTACTGCACCTTGTTTTTATTAAAATTTTCCTTGTTTTTCTGCACTATGGTAACCTTATGTTACCTCTTGACTTCTAATAGTATATAATAAGGAAAGTTACAAATAAATGGTGCTGCAGTCTTGAACTGCAGACCTCCCGACCCCATCCTTTGTCTTCTGTCTTTATTTTTCCGCATCCTCACCCCCTAATTCAGGATTCCCTTTGGTTGCTGGCAGGCTCCCGCAAGTATTCTCTATAAACTATTAAACATTAAGTATATTTTAATTTGCATATGAAATTACTGGCTCATTCTTTCCTTTTAGTATGGGGACTTGAACTCAGGACCTTGTACTTGCTAAGCAAGTTTTCTACCACTATAAGTTATATCTCTACCACTATAAGTGATATCTCCAACCCTTTTAGCTTCAGTTGTATTCTTCCTTCTTCAGATAAAGCATTACTGTTTTTCCTGGGAGCCAGCTTCAGACTACAATCCTCCTACCTGTGGATTCTAAATAGCTGGGATCAAAATCATGAAATACTGCAAACAGCTTATTTTGTTTTGTTTTGTTGTGCTTGTTTTGTAGGTCATGGGCTTGAACAGGGGGCCTGAGCGCTGTCCCTCAGCCCTTCAGCTCAAGGCTAGCTCTCTGGAGCTACAGTGCCATTTCCGGTTTTCTCATGGTTTTTTGGAGATAAGAGTTTCATGGACTTTCTTGCTCATGCTGACTTTGAACCATGATCCTCACATCACAGACTCCTGAGTAGCTAGGATTACAGGGATGAGCCACTGGTGCTCGGTTCTCCTTATGTTTTGAGACAAGGTCTAAGTACTTTGCTCAGGAGGTCTCAAACTGCAATCTCTGTCTTCTGTGTAGTTGGGACAGTAGCACAATCATTTTATTTATTTAGTGTGTCAGGGCTGGGGCTTGAATTCAGGGCCTGGACACTATCCCTGAGCTTTTTTGCTCAAGAATAGCACATTCTACCCCTTGAGTTACAGCCCAACTTCTGGATTTTGGGTGATTCATTGGAGGTAAGAGTCACATGGACTCTATTGCCCAGACTAGCTTCAAACTGTGATCCTCAAATCTCAGCAGTCTGAATAGCCAAGAGTATAGGCATGTGCCAGCCATTGGCACCAAACTTAGTAACACATTTTAAAGCTATTTATTACTCTTATTTTACTTCTCATTCAAAAGGAAAGATGGGCTGAAATTTATAGTAATTTCTAAGAAATACTTAGCACTAACTTTAGAAATCAAAGGATCTTTTGATTTGGAAACTATCTCATTTTAATACCAAGACTCACAGATCAGGACACAGGAAAGGCCTACATGAAATGCCTCAGAACACAAAGTCATTCTTGAAGCTAGGTGTCCTGACCTTGCTGTTTCCTTCATAGAAGTCAGGTCAGTCATTATCATTCTTTTTCTAAAATGACAGATAATGAACTTATCTCTCCATACCACGGGTGCTCTTTAATGAAATGACTCTCTCCAGCTTCCCAGGGAGAATGTTGATGTCTATGGCTTAGCTAATACATTCTACATGTGTAGGGTTGTTTGTTTAGAGGGTTTTGCTTGGTTTTACTCTATTAGAATACTACCCAACTTCTCAAAAATTCATGACTGTTTAGCAGATTCTAAATAGTAGAGATCATAAATATCACCACCTTACCCTCTTGCCCAACACAAATCTCATAGGATGATCTTTATCAGACCCGGTAGTTATGAAAGACTAGGAATTATTGAACACTTCAAAACTTTTTACCATTTAATGTAAATGGATCTAGAACTGAAATGTGAAAGCATGCTGAAAATCTTCTAAATTCTCATTGATTTGTTCAGGAGTGGCAATTAGTCAAGGAATTCACTAAGCATTCTGCCCGCTCTACACATCAGTTCCTTTTGTCCTGGCTTCTGGCAAGGGGCTTCTTAAGGGATTCACAGGTATTAACTGAGCAGTATTTAAATAGCAATGCATTGAACAGGAATTGGCTGGAAAGTCTGGCTATGGGATCCAACAGATTTTTAATTAATGGTTTTCAGTACAAAGGATCCCATTGAATTATTCATCTCAATCATTCTCCTCCATTCTCTTCTGCACAGTCTAGAACTCAAGATTTGAGCTTTCTTCCCCTCACTCTTTTTGTGTTCTTTTTACTGGTGACCTAGAGGCAAGGTGGCTAATTTATACATTACAGGAAACAAAATAGCCGTGAAGATTGCTGACCCCAAACAGGTGTACATGAGTACAGGTAAATCTGGGAATTGCCCCTCAAGAATTCCAGTTACTGCAGGAATAGCCATGTCTCCCAGAGTACCACCAATCAGAAAAAATGCAGCAGATTTGCCACTGATGGTGGTGTACTGTTCAATCCAAGACACACCACTGGGAAAGGTGGTGGCTATAGAGGCCCCATACACAGAGGTTGCTATCCAGAGACAAAGGGGACTCCTGTCAAAAAGCACCAGAAACAAACAGGAGGCCACGCTGCCAATGTTGCTCAACACAATCATAGTGGCAGGGCGTAAACACGTGGCAAAGAGGATTGCCAGGCCCCTGCAGGCTGCGAAGGCCCCCCAGAAGATGGAGTTCAAGCCAGCTGCCTCTCTCTCGTCCATGCCAACATGGGTGGTGGCAAAGGAGAAAAGGTAAGAATTGTATGTCACCTGAACCCCAACGTAGAAGAAGAAGAACAGAAAAAGCAGACAGAGAAGGGCCTTGTGGTATTGAGCTCTTTGAGATTGCTGAGCAGATGCTGTTGATTTTCCCTGCCTTGAACTTTTCATGCAGAACAGAGCAAAGAAAAGGAGAGAAACTACAAGAATGTAAGTGCCTATGGAAGCATAAGCCCACAGTAAGTTCATGTCATGGGGAGCTGCGAGTAGAGGGTCTGAGGCGGCTTCAGAGGAGACATTGAGGGCTGCAGGGAGAAAGTCGGTTTCTGTGTGGTTGTCAGCAGACACTGTGGGGCGCAGTGCCAGTTTAGCCAGCAGGGGAGCCAGGAAGGCACCCAGGGCAAAACTGAAGTGTAAGGCCTGCATGTGGGGGCGGCCCTTTTCCCTCCAAAGAGCCAAGATGACGACATTCACACCTACCAATGAAAGACAGGGAAAAAAACACAGTCATTATTGTTAGAGAGATCAGTCGGTGTCAGTACCTCTGGTCAGTCCTTAGTCATCACCCATTGGCCCTTTATCAATTCTGTGAGACTCAGGTCCAGAAAACAAAGTGGCTTAACATCTCTTATTCATCCATGGTCACAGTTTACATCCTAGTGCCAGACCAAAGGCTTATTACAAAACTTGCTAATTCCACACTACAGAGAAATTTGGTATTCATATTTGTTTAACTGTTGATGTAAACTAAGTAAAAATTTTATCAAGTGGCCAAATTACTAGACCATTACATACTTGAAACTGGTAGTCAGTTCCAAATGAGGAAAATTTACTGATGTGTAAAATAAATGCAAGATGCTCATTCAGATCCTGCACACCCCAGGATCCCTGTGTTCTTATTACAGAAAACAAGAGCTGCACCTACTCTGAGCATGTGCAAGCTGAAATGCAAGAGCATCAAGGCTTTGCAGTCTGCTTTGTAATCAGATATTTGCAGATAAGCACATAATTCCATCACTGAAATTTTATACACAAATTAAGCCTGGAGAATTTACATTATATTTAATTGTTTGTTTGGCAGGACTGGGGTTTGGATTCACGGTCTGACTTGCTTGCTCTGTTTGCTTGGCTGGCAGTCTTCCACTTGAGCCATACTCTCAGCCTTGCTTTGTACTTGTTGTTCTTTTTCTGCCCAGGTTGGCTTCAAAGGAAGATCTTTTAGATCTCAGCCTCATGAGAATCAAGGATTAAAGGCAGGAGCCACCAGCACCTGGCTTCAAGTAACTTTAGCATGGGAAAGGAAGGCATAAGCAATGGTAATCAATAATGCTAAACAATATCACATGTGTTATTCAGCAGGTTTTCAAGGACATGATGGCACATGGAGAACATCTGTTGTACAAGACCAGAAACTTTAGAGAGAGAAAATAACAGCAAAGAAACATGGGGAAGTACTGAATTACATGGATTTCTCTAAGCTTGGGAGAGAAGATCAATTTTAGATTGTGTGTCTGGAATAGAGAGAGGAAGAGTGGGTGAATGCAGTCATAATATTCAATATACATATGAGAAAACAGAACCAGGTATCTTGAGGGCCTGGGAACTAGGGAGGAGCATGTGGAAGGGGTGACATTCATCAAGATACACTGTGCTAAGCTGGGTGCAGGTGGCTCATGCCTTTAATCCTTGATTCTCATGATATCCTAGCTACTCAGGATCCTGAGATATGAAGATTGTGGTTCAAATCCAGCCTGTGAGACACTTATCTCCACTTAATTAGTGGAAGTGGAGCTGTGGCTCAGGTGGTAGAGTGCTCACCTTGAGCAAAAAGCTCAGGGACCATACCAAGCCATGTGTTCAAGCCCCAGGACCTTCACCTATCCACACATGCATGCACACACACACACACACACACACACACACACACAAAAGCATTATACACATAGATTGACATGTTAAATCGAAATGCCTTTGTACATTTTATATTTTTATAATGTATATTGTGTAAATACTCTGTACATTATGTGTGATAATAATATGTCTGCTTCTGTCTGTGCTTTCACAGCCAAATAATGGTTACAAAGTTTTAGCCTAGTAGATAATTAACCATCTAGGTTTAATTATCACCTGAGTAAATTTCTGTTGTTTCTAATTATTACAAGGCAAAGTTTAGCATCATCAGCTCAACTTTTCTAACAAAAAGCACCCACTCTTAGATAGAACAAAGGTCCCACTGACCTGTATCAATAGTGCCAACCGCAGCCCCAAAGAGAGCCATCACGACAATCAGCAATGCTGCGTTCTTACAAAAAGGGATAAGATAAAGACCAACAGTGGTAGCCAGCATTGACACCCCTAGAAAAAGTAAGAATGTCAACTGGTATGGTGTGCAGATGCCCCCTCCCTTCCCGACCCCACCCCCTCCACCCAGTAAACCTAGTGACTTGACAGGCTGAATCTGGGAGGACTGAGGTTTGTAGCCATCCTGGGCACAAAATCCCTTAGAAAACAAGAGCTGGAGCTGCTGCAGACTGCCAGTGGCTTATGCTTATTTCTAGATATTCAGGAGGCTAAGAACTAGGATGATCATGGCTTGAGGCACAGGCAAAAAAGTTCACTAGACTCCATCTGTAAAACAATCAGCAAAAAGTTCACTAGACGCTCTCTGTAAAACCATCAGCAAAAAAAAGCAGGGCTAGAGGCATGAGTCAGGTGCTAGAGTGCTAGTCTAGCAGGTACAAGGCCCCAAGTTCAAATCCCAATACCATACAAAAAGAAAGAAGGCAATAGGTGGGTGTGATGGTAAATGCCTGTCAGCTACAGGGGAAAGTTAGATCTCAGACTAGACCAGCCCAGGCAGACAAGTCCATGAGACTCTACCTCAGTAGAAGAATAAGGGGAGGGTGGGGGGGGCGCGGGGTGGATTGTACAAGCCTGTCATCCGAGCTGCTGTGGGAAGTCTACCAAAACACCACCCTACCATGTGATCTTTGTTTGTTGCTTTGTATGTTCCTCCCCCATGGTATAACCCCTGTTTTCACTGTATTCGATGTTGGTCTAATATGGGGAGGGAAAGGAAAAAA